CCGATACTGCAAATGACTATTTATGCTTTCACGGGTCGTGTGTTAAGCCGTTTATAAAGAAGTGATGAGATGTGAAATACATTTTTATTGACACCCTGTAACAAACTATGAGATGATCCAAGTAAGGGTAAGGTTAACTTACAGATTGAACCCAGAAACAACCTCTGGACAATTGCAATGCGTGGATATGGTTACTATAAGATACTATACTTACTATAAGATAAGGTATTTTCCCCACACATATAGTCACCTTGCACTACTAATTGCCAATTTGGGAGTCAAAACAAAAATTCCTCTCGTTTGAGGATAGAAATGTTTTATTGTATTTTCAACTTCAAGTAGGGATTCAGTGCAAGGGGTCTATCAAAATCTTCTCTCTTGGAAACCGAAAAATATAACGATCATAGAGGCCATCGTAGGTTTTAGTAGTGTTAGCACTACACAGAAGTAGTATTTGTATCTCTATATACAGATGCTTGGAAATGTTTGTTGCGACTTTACGGCGAAATGCGTCTTGGTGCATGCCACGATACCAGGAAAAAATTATCAGAACATAACATTCTACTCCATTCTAAAGTTAGGATCCACCAGTGATAGGGATCGAGAGAGGGTTTAAAAACACATCGTACTGCTCTGCTGGTTTCGAGCTCTTAATTGCTCAGCGCTAGCCTTAATGTTTATTTTATCGTTGGTATTTGTGAATATTTTGACACTGTAATGCTGCTTAAACCTGAGTAAATGAGTCTGTAATCAAAGAGGACAGTGGTGACGTATGAATTCGAAAACGTTCTGTCGAAGATTGGGAAGCGAAGCTATGWTTCAAATGCTTGTGTAAGAGAAAACAAACTAGACTCACCATAGATAGCTTGCATGCCACTGATATCATCATCGCCTAGGTTATCCCCCAGGGTGGAATATACAGGATTCATGATGGATCCTGCTGCAGACGAGTGATACAAACCAAGGCTGTGGCCAATTTCGTGAATAGCAACCTTGAACAGACTCCGGTGGGTACTATCGCTTGTTCTTGGGGTCCAGGGCTCTGCGTCATCAAAATGGATGTCACCTCCGTATTGTGGATAATACGCATGCGCAAGCTCGTTTCCTGGTCCATCAAACGCTTTGAAGTCACCATGATATCCTAAAAAAAATTTGCAGTATCTTAAGTCAATGCGGGATTTCATATCGTGAGGGACTGGGTACGAGTCCCTGAATAGTGGAATAACACAGAGGAGGATCCCACTAGTATCCCAGGGGGCATTGCGACTGAGATATGACATTTTTTCACTTAAACAGCTAAAATTAATATTTTCGAAACTGAAAAATCAATTGTACTTAAATAGAGTTTATGTCATTCCTTTTAGCGGTATCTATTTGTAAATTCTTTCGGGATTGTAAAGATACTCGTCAGAATACTTGAGTACTTTTGGAGTAATTTCAGGTTCAGTACAGTTCCTACTACTGACTACTTTTATATGCCAAATCAGTCCAAGGTGTATTTATCAAATGTTAAATCAACACTTTAGTATTAGTATAACTAGTTGTTGTAGGGTTATTAAATCACATAAACCTGTTGAAACCAAAGAAATCTAATAAGTTCACAAAGGCACTTGGAAAATTAGTGAATCTAAAATCCGTTTATCATACCAGAAATATTACAAGAATTGTTATCATTGGTCTTCAATGGCAAAAATAAAAACAATCGAATCAAATTTTTTTTTAAAGAATAAGAAATAGTTAAAATATAGCAAGTGATTTTGCTTCTCTCAGCCCGACCGTATTAGCCATTTTGTTTCTAGCTCAATATTTCCTAGTTCCAGGTTTTCAGCTCGATAAACAACAGCGTTTACTCAGAAATCCTATCTAAATTACTATCCTCAGAAATATTCGCCAAAAAACTTTTTGCAATAGTATTTATCGTTGTTGTTGGTGGAAAATATCTCGTGTGGACAAAACATGATGAAAATGTCGCTGTGCGGCTAACCATGCATTGCGCTGACCACCAAGGAACGCAGGCTGTTTCTCGTTTTGATTACGAGAAATACCGACATTATTCGAATAATTTTTTCTGGTATACAATAAGTGATAACTTAATAAAAGCGGATTTTGGTAAGAATCCGGAAAACCGTCTCGGATATGACAAAAATTTAAAGCTTTATAATACGGATATACAAGGAATAGCGAGGGAAGTTCTATACGTTACACCGGATTTTGATGTCATTCATCAAAGAACACCACGTAAAACAAAGATCCTGCTTTCGCATTGACCGGATTTCGTACTTGAGTTTTAAAGAATCCTTAAATTCATTACAATACAATACAATAAGATTTTTAAGCGGACGTCGTTAGTGACTGCAACTTGCTAGTCCATTTGAGACAAAAGTCATTGAAAACGGCTCCGCCACCAATTAAACCATTTTAAAAACAAACTTTTTATTATAAGTTTAGTTATGAGCTATTTTGAATTCTATTTGAGCATGTCATGGCGGCTTATAAGTTAATTGTTGGCTAATAAATGTTGGCATAAAGCTCTAATCTATTGTTCGGACTATATTAGTTTTTCTTGGCGTCCATGACTGCTGTTTAAAACAATAGGAAATATCTTGGTTTTGGCGATAATGGCGGACAACGAGCCAAAACCGCAGAGATTAATATAGAACAATACAATAGTAAAAATATAATGTTGGAAACAAGCCCTTGGCATGAAGTCCAGACGTAATTGTAATCGTATGAACCGCAATAGGGAAATGTTGCGGTCAAAAATCACGTTAAAAACAATAAAATCGTCCGCCTTTTGTCGGCCATTTTCGTGAGAGTTTACAACGCGGCGCCTTAGCGCGGAAATGAACTTCTTTGGCAAAAAAAAATTATACAAATTTGGCAGAGAAAAAAATTTACTTTTGTTTCGAAAAAAAGATTACTTAAAATGTTTTCTCTGTCTATGGGTAATGCCCTTAAATTTGGATGTTTTTTTTCTTTTTGAATTGGTTAGAAAAAGTTAAGTTAAAAGGCTTGAGTGTATTTGGTTTTACAAGCACGTGAAAATTTAATCAAGCGACCAATGAGATTCGCGAAAAGCCTCGACGGCTCGATGGCCTTTCTTTGGCAAAAAAGTGCGTTTTCATTTTTCGCTGCTAAATATTTTTTGGCTCTTGGAGTAGGTGTAATTAAGAAATAAAGTTGGATTCTACAGATTGTTTGAATTCTACTCATACCTTCTTGAAAAAGAAATGAAATAAATATTCCTTGTATACTAACAGTAGCACTTCACTTGTAGCACTTCATAAGTTCAGTCTGCTAACAAATCTGTGGCCTTCCGTTAACGAATTTCTTTCACCAGTCTTCTAAGCCCCTTTTCAATCAAATATTTCAAGAATACTGACGGTCAATGCATTTATCAGTCTTTGACCTAAAATCATAAACTCTTCCTTGAATGATTTCAATATTTGATACTTCGTGAATTGGAATCATAATAGCAATAATTACTTTATGCCCAATAACCTGAGGAATCCACTGCATTTGTGAATGATGTGCATGATATTATGAAAGAAAACCTTCGTAAACAACCAATACTAAAATTACAGTACAATTCAGGATATATAAACGCGGTTGCAATAAAAAATAAATGAACGGTGAAATTCCGTAAAATGTACATTGTGGGGGTCGTAGTTTCGGCCAAATTAGATTACCTTAATTGGCCCCACCTTTAAGTTTTTATAATAAATCGACTGGAAATTCGTATCATCGCTTTAAAAAGAAACGCCACGTAGTTTTGTTACTGTTGCTATTTTCCTGGTATTTTAAAGCAAAATATAAAGTATTAAACTGCAGAAACAGTTCAAAATATTTCTGCAAAATATGCCGCTCAAGTAAACAAACTTTACCAAACTTTCACGGGCATTTTAAGCTATAAAAATTTCACATGATTTTAGTTAAATGTGTGTATTTTATGGCCGGATATTTAAAGGTTTTGGCTTTGGTTTTACTATGTGTTTGGAACCTAATTACAGTTCGTTAAATTCATTCCAGAAAAATACATGCAATACAAAATGCTTCAAAATTGATAAAATACTAAATTATCTGTAGAGATTTTTATGAAAACAGTTAACTGAATTAGTTAATTAGAATGTGTAGTGTAAGATTTACAAACATTCCGACAAAGCTAAGGGTCCTTCACCGAGCGGAGAGTCTGTACCAGTTAGAGATGACGTCGATATAGTGAGCTTAGTCGTGAGCGCTGGCTTCAAAGCAACTGCTGCGATAACGGCAAAGGTTACGCTAGCTAGTAGATATCGCAGGAATTCAATGGATGAGTGCAATGAAAGAATGCATTTTATTCCCCCATAATGATGATCGTTAAGAAAGTTGCGCATTTTTTTCTTATCTTATCAATTTACTATATTTTAACGCATGGTTTTAACGGATATTGTGAAATGAATTGCATGCTTTTCGGCATTCAGTATTACACCTTTGAAAGTGGCGTGGTTGTATCGTACCTGGCGGGCCGTAGGACCTCGTGGTGTGAGCCTGATTAACATGCTCCAACACAACACAAATTAAATTTCACAACAAAAACAAACCCACCTACTGTAGTAATCTGTACTACACACGAAGATGAGTGTATTTGTAAGGCGCGCAACGCAGAAATATAATATATTTATTTTAATGTCATAATATAATATCTTTAGAACTAACCTTGAGCAAATAGGATCGTTATATCAGCCAACGCTGAATTAGACTCATATCGGAAGACCAAAGGAGACACTTCTGCCCAAGATCTAAAAGCAGCTGCCAGCGTAGACTTGACAAGAGCAGACGTCATCTTGGTACTCCATTTGTTAGTGGGAATACTCCATTTGATAATGAACTTGTTCCATTTACTGCCTTGCTGCACGTAACGTCTCACTCGTTTATGAACTCTCACACTCATTTTTCGTGCAATTTGCGTCATGARWTYGTCKYTGTGAACGTCCATGTCYTTGAGCCCACAGCGCGGTTTTTTCATCATCTGTTTTGTGTCAATATCTAATCGACCGGTCAATTTTACTTGGCTAAAGGACTGTAGTTTAAATAAGGCTTTTTCGATTTCGTCTTGGGAAAAACCTGCCAGCGATCTTTCCTCGCGTTGGATTTTATCAGTAAAAACTTCGTCAAAAAGATTATTAATGTCGGTTAAATAATTCTCAGGCAATCCAAATTGGATTTTGTCAGGATTCTGTGATTTCACACCTCCAGTGTTAGGAGTCTTCTTAGGCTTTAGATAGCCATACTTCGTTAAATAATTCTATAAGAAAATACGATTTGGCGATTAGTCGTACGTGCCCTAAAGCCGGTCATCGAATGATGACAAGTCTGTCTAGTTTACTCTAGATCTTATCTACAAGAGTGAAGTGGTAGAACATATCTATACATCTACTAACCGAATGAATGAACTTTTAAACTTACTATTGCTCGTTTGAGGGACTCTGAGAGCCCGGTCTGTTGAGTACTTGGTTGAGCTGGCCGGCCATGCGTTAGAACCAAAAGAAAAGAAAAGAAAACTATTAGTTGAAATATAGTTAAATTCATTCTACCATGAGTATTGCTAAGTGTTCTTAGCAACTTGTCTTGACTGAACTTTAGTGATCGTGACCCGTCAGATGCTAATCGTTATCTGAGAGTTTGCTCGTTTGATCGATTTACTATGTTGTGCTGGAGGAGGTTGATCACTGGCACGTGACCTAATCGACCTATCACGATCACAGGCAACAAAAATATCACAAGAATTTCATAGTCATCGTAAATAATCATTACTTTCTCCTCATATTACTTATCATAACCTCATCTTTCTTAACTGTCGGATGGATTAATGGCAGWAATTCCTGTACAACAACGTTCCCAGATAAGACATATTTCTATGCAAATTTATAAATAACATTACGATGGACATCGCTTTCTTACGCTGACACTGAATGGTGCATCTTTAACGCTTGTCATCTGGTTTTCCGATGGATAACATGTCTGTATTTATAGATATTCGAAGCTTTAATCCCTAATGATCAAAAATATGGAGGTGAACCTCTAACTTTTTCTGAGTTATTCTGAATGTCGTGCATGGTAGTAGTACCTATCAAGCATATCTTGTCAAGATGGCGGGAATTACCCGCGTAACGCTTCTATCAGTTATTCACATGAAAACAGCACCACTAAATCGTTTCAGATAAGACATGAAATCGTAATTTTGTTACTATTTTATTTTATTGATTTTTTATTGATTTAATTGGAAAATTTATCGGTAGGATACTGAGAATTGTTAGAATCTGAGACTGTCATCGATCCTCGGCCATTGTTCAAATGCGTTACTTTGTGTGCTGTTACTTTCTTCGTCTACATTTTCGTTCACTGCGTCCCGTCTCAAAATTTTGAGGAATTGTTTCTCTTTCTGGAAACTTAGAACAATTGCAGTTACAATTTCTAATGTCCAACCAAGAAATGTCCCTAATATTCAGTCAGTGGCGATAAAGCAGTCAGTCTGATCTTCAATATCAAAGTTACAAATAGTCAAAACTTTCCTGTTTGAGTCCGTGGAAATACAAAATATAAGAGAAAAAATACTAAACCATAAAAAATCCATAAACATTCGACTTAAGACTTCAATATTGACTCCAAACAACAAGAAACTTTATGATTATTCCAAACAAAAAACTTTCAATGATAAGAACCTCAGCTTGACAATAAATAATTAAAAATGAATGTTGGTAATGAAATGAATGTTTTTTCAAAGAGAAATATCGGTTCAAGGTTTGTCATCTTAGTCGCCGGGTAAGATTTCAAACGATCGGTTGTTTAGATGCTCGATGTTCTAATGCTTAATCAATGGCGCTTAAATAAAATTATCAAATTAAACTTCCGCTACTTAGGACTATATTGCAGCAAATAACAGTTCTTATGGTGAAAGGCCAGCTTTCCTCATTTAGTTCTCGGATTTTTTGGCAGTCAGGAACCAAAACAATCCTTCGTTCGCAAGGGTTGTCAGTGAAGCTAACTTGGCCCCCAACTAGTTTTATCGACATAAATGGCAGAGACTTCACTGTACAAGTATTTAGAAATTGTAAGTCTACACAGTATAGATACTAGGAAATCACCAACTGCAAGAAAGTCCACACCAAACCGGTGAGACAGATTTGGCATTCATAATATTTTCTCGCCAGGAGTTGTTCACACAACGACGGTCAGACACAAATGAAACGTTATGAAACATTTAACCCACAATGCTCCACGCGCCTTGACCACCCTCCTCTGAGTAGCCAACATTTTCAGGTCATGCAGGAAGCGATTAATCATACGATTCATTTTCTAGATCTCGTAAACCGTTTGACGAATCGGGCCGAAAGTCTGGCAAAAAAAACCCGGTAGATATCTAATCCGTAGAGTACGCAGTTTGGTCAGTTAGCCGCGAGGCGTTTGGCAACCTTTATAATTCCTAGCTTCGAACCATTGACATCTCTACGAGTTTATCGGCAGATTTACTCTTTTTCTCCTGCTACAATTTTTCAATGTTTTAATAATCATTATTTTTATCGATGATTTTTTAATATTTTTAGAATTTGATTTGGATTTCTTTATAAGTAATTGATAATTGGTGTAACCTTGTAAGTTGTAATCACGTCTGGGGTGTATCAAATATTTCAAGTGTTATTAGTCAGGCCACCCATCAAACGGTTCGGCCGCCGCTTTGCGGTACACGATATCCCCGGCGGTACGTTGCAGCCAGGGTACTAAAATTAGGATTTATTGTTGCGAAATATTTCATACCTCAATATTTCAATACTTGAAGTGCGAGTACCGACCATCAACGATATTTCTCCTATCCTATGAAGTAAAGAGTTTGTGGCGTTTCGATTCTCTGGTAATAAATAAACGTAGTCTCAGCTTGACTCGCGCTATAACTAACTGCTATTTTTTTTTTACCTCCTATTTCCTTTCCTTTGTATCATTCAGTTTAAAAACAGACCACCCTTCTATATCCTAAACAGCAACATGTTAAAAAAATTTTTTTTTTTGGTAAACGAGAATTGAAGACATTTGTACATGGGTATGTGTGTTCCTAAAAGATCTAGTTCCGGCATACTATATTTCGTCAATTTATCGATCAAATTTCTGAATTCTGCCGACTCAATCATATAGCTCTCATCACTACAGGTTTTTCAATGTAGGAGGTTGTATCCGGATAAGGATCTTGCGATTTCGAATACCGGCGCGATCGGGCTCGAATTTCTGTCTTTATCTCACCAAAAGAACGCACACTATCTTAAAATCGAGATCAGTGCCTCGATACATATCCTATTCAATATGCAACCTTGCGTAGCAATTAAAAGTAGGCAGGACACTATTTATTCTATTGTGGAGCATTGTTTGCACTTTCAATTCATTACTATAGCAGTTATGTCAGCATTCCACGTGAAGCCGGGCTCTTCCGTGAGGTTCTCTCCCAGCGCACTACCACTACATCCATTATTTACAACACTCAGATTACATGTTGATTTTTACGGAGGAAGGAAATCCGGAGAACTCTAAAAAAAACTCTCGGCAAGGGTGAGAACAACATATCAAACAAACCAACTCAACTCACGCATCGATCGCAAATTACATTGCGCTAGACAACCCATGTCATTACACGCCTCTGCACGTGTCATTCTCACTCAAAAATCTCTAGGAAGCTTTGGATTAGAAATCTTCCACTCATTAATCTATATTCGCCTACTTTGAGTCGCTGTAAAAACAAATTGTATGATATAAACTGATTTATTAAAAAAGTTTTAAATGTCCCTGATTTTGTGCAGTAATGTCTGCTATATTCGTGGGTGGGTGGGGTAGGGGTGGAAAAAGGGTTGTGCCGCCTGTGACTACAAACATGCAAACAGAAGTACTTTTGTGTTTAGTAGCCATCCCCTCAACAAAGTTTATTTTACTTTGGTATTAAGGAAGGAAGGGAATAAGCAGATACTCTACTTGCATGGAAAGTTTTAGCCCTATTCGTTACAATATGGATTATTGAGTGTAGACTTCTAGCTCTCTTCTTTCTACAACTCACAGTTTCTTTAAGTTATATACGTAAAGAAGACTTAAAGAAAGGAAAGCCAGAGAACTCTTGGCAAGGGACAGAAAACCACATCAAACAATCTTTATTCACGTGCATTCTGCACTCTTTCTTCTTCTTCTTCTCCATGTTTGGAGTGGGAAGTAGACCAACATTGTACGATTATTCTAAGTGATTAATTTTATATAGATAGTTAGATTAGTCGAATTTGTATAAGAATAAAAGTTGTAATTGTAAAGAGCATATGTAGAGACTCGCTTAACACGCTTTGAAGAATTTGTTAGTAGTATTCTATCGTGACTATTTTAGCTTGCTAATCGAAAATCCACGTGTACCAGAAATCGTAAACTCAATGGGGGCATTACTATGGAAAGTCCTAGAACCCCTTTTAATTGTATTACTTCTGGGGATTTACCCCCTAAAGATCCATCTCTAGATTAATACTAAAGTAAAGTAGCCTTTACTATTCGAAGTGTTCATATCGAATGTTGTTAGTCGTTAGTTTGGGGGTCAGTTCTGTTACGTCAAATATGCGCGCGCCGAGTCGCACTCGCTAAATCAGTGGAGATGAACAGTGAATTCAGAGGACGCCCCAGAGAGAAGACATAGAGGGGAATATGACTCGTTTTTCGTACGGGAGATCTCTGAATGGTACAGTCTACAATTACCATACTCTCATAACGCCGCCTTTCCTCGCTCCATCAATACTACACAACACAATTTAACTTCTACAAAGTCAATTTTAAGTCACCATTATTACATTAATCTTCATACCACTAAATAAAGGAAACCTTTAAGAAATTTGTTTTCTTAGCCTTATTAACAACATTATCTTGCGACTATACACCGAATGGAAATATGGCAACCAATTTGAATAACTGATTGTTATGAGAGGCTTTAGTCACTCGCTGGTCACCGCAGAACAACATAAAATTGGTCGCCTTGTGTTTGATTCAGTGTCCATCAAAAGATTTGAACAAATAATATTCGAAGAGGATTCTGGTAGTATGCAATTAGACCGAGGGACAAGGACTTGCAGTGAGCGATAACGTGTTTCTGGTTTGAGACCGTTTTGGTTTGTGGGCGTAATGTTGTTCACATCAGTTCAAACCACGTTTCTCCGGTGAATTACGTATATTGTGCGCGCGACACTAACATTAACAAAATATGTGAGAATTTGTAATCTTACCGCTAACAAAACCTCAGTTAACCAGAGAGATCCTCCGGAAGTTTATCTGTTCGGCCTCCTTCGCTAATCCCCCTCCATTAATAGACCACAGGGACGTGGCATATTACCACACCGTCGTATCGTTATTTAGACATACAAGTAAAAATGTCCGCCGGATGTTTATACATTCAAGCTAATCCTCAACAAATAATGGGCCGACGGAGATACATTGATAGTCATAGGTAGTGATGAAGATGGTGAAGAATTGACGTGACGATATATACACCCCTTGCATGTGACGTCAAAGCAGCTCATCTGGCGGGGAAAAAAAAAAAAAGAATTCCAATACCCTAAGAAGATTGAAACCTATTGTTTTGTCCCCAGATTGAGCTGCATTCCGACATGCAGCAAGGGGTCTATAGATAGAGAACCGTTTCGAGATTGTTCTGAATGCGAGGCATAGGAAAAATACAAAAGCAATCACACGAAGGGGTTTGTTTCATTTCTTTGGTATTTTCCTGTTAGCCCTGCTAGCATCGAAGATAATTTTGAAAAGAAACATATAAACTGTTCGATATATATTTATAATTAACGGGTTTGATGCCACGATTGTACTAGAGACAGACTCCCTTAGTTCTCGGGGGTTTGGCCCTGATTCAAGAAGCAAGCTGCTCGCGGTCTATGTATACCAGAAATAGTCGTAAAGCAGAATTATTACATGGGGTTAATAAAAAGTTTTTAAAATGTTTTAGTTAATTCGAAATTTGTTATATAGTTAATATGGTTTCTTAAACTTTGGAAGTGTTTCAAACTTAACCGCGTTAATTTTTCCTCACGTGAAAATTAATTCAGCTAAGTTTATAGGACATAATCATTGTTTAATTTGGTCAGTGTGCTGGCCATGATAAATATTACGAGGCACTCTCAAGCCTTTTCTCACTAGCGACGCAAACCGACACAAGCATAAACACGACCGCAAGCCAACGCAAGTAAAACATTAATCACCCGTTCTCTTGCGCTCGCATTTTTTTTATTTACTAAGAATCGTTTCTGCTTGCGTAGGCTTGCGCTAGTCAGTGCGAATAGAGTTTACCGAGTTTACAGTAGGAGTAGGGTACCCTCTAATCTACCCGCTCGGATAGTTGTTAAAATACTAGGTGTGCGTAGTGAATGTTTCCCTCTATACAGAAATATATTTTATTTAGCAAGCATACAATCAAACAGTACTTTTAATTCTGCGATGAAAACGATAAAGAAACGATACAATACTTTATATGATGACTTTTAGTTTCAGAGTTACTTTCTCGTGGACAAATTCCAGGATTTCACTTTCCGAGGTGATGGGTACTAGGTTAACTCCCCTCCCCTTCGATGCTATCTAAATCTGTTATCGTAAGATAACATTGTTTTAAAATTAAATGATCCTTACTCTCATGAAACTGGAAATTTCTACACGAATGATGTCTCTGGAGTTTCCTTTGAATTTCCCCGTCATTTACTCCAGACAATTCGTTTCATAACCGACACAGGGCTTGCCATAGGAAGTCTCTCCAAATCTGGTCGGGTTTTCGATAGCATTGTTCTCAACAAACCCTTTTCCTGTTACAGTGTACAATTTTATCAGATAAAATTCCTAAATTCGATTTAGATAAAAAAAATTGCCAGCAAAAATCTTCACACCAGTCGTTGAATTTGTGCCAACAATCATTGGATTCATATGACTAATTCTGTATATCTCTTTCATTTTACTAAAGCAATCCACGTATCTGTATATCATATCTAATGTTGTCATTTATAAGTGAATGATGGGGAGCTGGCTTCTGTATATTTCTTTCATTTTACTAAAGCAATTCACATATCTGTATAACATATTTAATGTTGTCATTTATAAGTGAATGATGGGGAGCTGGCTTCTGTATATTTCTTTCATTTTACTAAAGCAATTCACATATCTGTATATCATATCTAATGTTGTCATTTATAAGTGAATGATGGGGAGCTGGCTTCGAAAACGTTTGTTACTTCAGCTCCCCAGCACCTCATAATTATTTTTCTCACTATCTATATTTTACTTTCGTTATTAGTTGAAACTTGTTAATTTATCATCTATTTTGTTATTGTAAAGTATATATCGTTAATGCAAATATAGAAAGAAACAGAAATCATGAATAGTCCCAACTACGTCACGCATAATCTAGCATTTATCTTTTATTACAAGTCCAGGAGGTTTAGCGGTGGTGTGGTCTCGAGTTCGATTCCTGGACTCGGAATATCACATGCGAGTATCGTAGAAATTGCTGTGTCTCTCCTTTTGATTTGAGTTTTTTTCTATGGGTTCTCCGGTTTTCCGCTTCTCCTTAATACATAACAAGGTACTTCCAATTCGGTCTGTAATTAGTCGTGTCCTGACTTTGATCAATCCAGAGGTTTTCTTAGAATATCGATATCAAGGTTTTCAATATAAAGGTAGACCTTAGGCAAGGAAACACCAGCATTCCTAAGCTTGGTTTGTACAACCAGTACAATGTCCCTTCATGAAAGAGAGAGACAGAGTTATAACACTTCGTGCACAATAATTGACCTATTGAGAAGTCATCTTATACCGAAACAATCTCGGAAACCTCTTCATTACCAGAAAAACCACAAAGTAGGACTCGTGGCTGCATGCAACGACATGAATTAAAGAAATGCGACATGTAATTGAAAAGGTATTTCCTCGATAAGAGGAAACTAATAAATAATATAGCAATTAGGTGAATGAAGGTAGCTTCCGGCTATGAAGTTGATCTGAAGTCCACTGCTTACTATCGATCGTCGATGTACGTAATGTACGGTTGCCCTCTCAACAATCCTTTCCACTCCATAATGCAGTGCGTTGTTTCAACGGTGTTAACGATGGGGTATAGCGCAGTGCACACTACATACACATAGACCTTCTCTGCTTGAGCGAAATGTTTTGGGTAACACACAACAGGCAGAACGAAGCCTGGGAGTGGATGAACAAATAATGAATGGTGAGATGAAACAAAGAACGCAGCTCACTTGTAGAATAATGCACATTGTTCACCATAATCCATGCTTTCTTTGTTTTTGTTGTTTTATCCAATCCCAAGCTTCGTTCTACCAGTGGACACCGACCCAATGTTTCCCATTTCAGACCACTTTTCATTCCCTAGAGTATCGTTTCTTTGTTTAACAGTTTGCGCTCGGTTGCACACAAGAAGACACATGAACATGGATACAACTCAAGCAAAGAATCTTATTCTCAAGGGAATGACACTGGGAAAATATTACGCCCGAGACGATGTCTATTGGCCGCTCTTGCTCCTTTTGGAACCTAAGAAAAAATCCCCAGAAAAAGAATGTATTTCCATACATTTTATTTCGCTAAAATCATTATTTAAGAGAGTCAAGAAAAACTGTAGCAACACATCATGTTACTATTGCCCTATTGCCATGATTGACTCCACAACATCGATTGCTCTATATATCGCCTAGCTTCCTCGGTAAGTGGAATACCCAAATGGGCTAAGAAGTAGTGGTACATGATAGTGCTGAGAAGGGTCATTGATAATGAAAAAGACCTGGAAAAGAAAACATGCAAATATAGTTACTACACTTGACAATCTCGATAGGCAGCCATATTAACTGGAACAATAGAGTTTCCCACTCGTACTGGTTCGCATTCAAATGCTTGAGAATGAATTTACGGAAGCTAAAATATAAGGTCTTTATTTTCTTGCAAGAATAAAGATGACTATCTGCCGCGTTAGTAAATCCTATGAGTAAGAAAGCACCTAATTGCTTGGGCTTCTTTGCTTTGATTGACATCGCTCGACGGCTTCAGGTAGCCCGAGGCAAATAAAATAACGTAGAAATGATGAGTCCCTAAAATTATGTGTCCTGCGTATGCTCTTGCATGTAGTTAAGCATGCGCAGTAAACAGGAAAATATGACGTTTACTTTACTAGAAATATATTAATTAGATGCATTTATAAATCCACTAAGATGGAATTCGAATCTCTCTGAATGTTATCACAGCAGAGAAACTGGGATTTTGCTCGAACATAAGCTTTTGATGCATTTAATGAATTTTAGAGTTTGTGAGCAAATTCACTACGAATACAAATTCCAAAATGTTACGTCGTTACAAGTTGAGTTTCCCCGTGCTTTTGCGAGACATTATACGTTCTCCAATTTCTCTCACTCTTGCAACCCCTTTAAATAAAGCTAGCTGTGGGGCTAACAGGAAAGTTATTAAAAAAACACATTCATTTTGAATGGAATTCGTCCCATTTCTTTAGCGCTTTCCTCGCTTCCAAGATAATTTTCAAAGAGTGATTATCATGGGCGGATCGATCAAGGGGGCTGTCGATCCCTAGGTACATCGCACATTCCCCAATCCACCTGGTTTTTGTTTTGTTACATATATAGGTCTTCATTTTAGTTCTGTTTCTTTAATTTTTAGTCAACTCAAGATTAATTTGCATAAGATTAAAGCTAGAAATAAATCTAAGAACAAATCGTTAAATAGGTCAGATCAGGATTATTGATGACGTCACTATATGATCATTTTTTCCATTTTGAACACTTTCTTGCCAATTTTTGGATCCGCCCCTGGTTCTATCCAGCAAAAATTTAAGATTGTATTGCGGGCGCCAGAACAAAATAATAAATTCCTAGTTTTATCAGCTATAGAAACAATAAGGAAAAAAACCTTCATTCAGGACCTTTTTAGAGGATTACCTCAACATATGGATAGAAGTATTGCGTAATACCACGCAAGTTGGAGTAGGTTTCCGTATCAAACCTAATCCTATAGCGACCGGCTAAGAAGTTTTGCTGAGTCAGCAGATTAGAGACTCGTCCGTCATCATTTGTTGCACTAGAATCAATAGATAATAAATGATATACCGAATAATTGAACAAATAACAGAAAGGAAGAACTTATGAAATAAATGAATAAAGGGAGCTACAGGTAGGGATGATATAAGAAAGCGGGAAGGAAGGCGGGAAGGAAGGTGGGGAGGAAAAAGGAAAGGAAAGCGGGAAGGAAGAAGGGAAGGAATAAGGGAAGAAAGGAGGGAAGGAAGAAGGGAAGATAACAAATGAAAGAATTAATAAGGAAAGGAAGATCTTCTACTTCACCTCCTTTCACCCCTGAAACACTTATTCGTCTAACAGATAGAACACAACTTACTTAGAAGCAAGAAGTTTCCATGTACTGGCGCCATTTTGTACCACTTCATAAAAGACTTTGATTGGCAGCTGTCTCGCGGGAATCCCGGCAGAAGTGTCCAGAACGTGTGTGGTCAAAGGACTACTGGCATTCTTTTTTGGTGCTTTTCGAGACTATAAACAGTACAGTATTTATAAGGTCCCATTTACATGATTGTAGGATAATCCTGGTGCTAGGGATAGGTTTTCCGTTCAATTGCGCTTTCCTCAGGGGACAACAAAAACAAAGGGCCGGGGTTTGCGCTATAGGTTGCCCTATACCTTTATACAATTTAAACGAACGAACGAACGCGGAACGAACAAACGAACGAACGAATCCGGTTACTCAAATTTTTATTTGCTCATTTTCAGTTATTCTAGCATAATGTACTTTCATCAAGCAAAATTTGAAGAAAAATTGACGATGAGATCTTTTGCCAATCATGCAATGTCCTTAAAGCTTAAAATCTGACAGATTTGTCATCATAGGCCTATAGTGGCGTATAAGTAGTGTATAAGTCTTGACACTGAGTTTTCAAAAAAGCCGCTGTCCTGCCTCGGACCAGGCCTTTTTACGAACAAAAAAATGCATATTTGAAATATAATAGTCTACTCGCATAAAGCTTCATTTAGTGTGGCTAGTGGAGTCATTTGTAGTAACCTTTCCAAGATGAATAAATCCTCATAATCCACGTGCAGTTCTATGGACAAGTGTTTACAGCATCTCACAGGATTTCTATCATCCTGGATCCGCTTGCAAGTCAAACAGAATGTTTGTTGGTCTCATTACATTTGTCACAATAGCCTCGGACAAGCGCTTGGACAAGATATCTCTCAAATATTTAGGATATCATCGAAATCTTACTTCTTGAACTACTAATTTCTCACAAAAACACATGCGCGTTTGGCGATTCGTGGCAGAGAATTTTCACTGTAAGGAATCGCCATCGAGGGAGACTCTGATAGCAGGGAAGCGTGTTGGCAGTATTTCAGATGTTATGCAACGAAAAAAAGTCTAGAAAATGTTTTCTTAAACATCAGTATGCAAGATAAACTAGTGAGCAAGTCTTACCTTTCCTTTACAAGCAGTGAGAGAAATACCGATCAATATGACCACTAATAAACTAACCCCTTTCATCTTGATCTATTTTCGCAGACCACGTACGAGAATGCTGTAAGTTCAGTTCAAAGACAAGTAATTTCAAAGGCTAAAACATAGAAGGGCTATTGAATAGCAAAGAATGACGTCAACGATGCAACGTCATTAGTTGATCAAAGCCCTCGAGTCTTTCTAGAAGTGTATGAGAAGACAGCATTGTTCAATGACCTGGTGGCTGCATGTACGAGTGCTTTTCCACGGATGACATCCAAACCTATTAGTCGTTATATTTCGAAATTGTTTATTAAATGCAGACGTCAATATGCAACTAGGCATACTGAAATCAGCACTATCATTTGATGTGTAGAGACCTCGAAATTATTTGTTAATATCTGATATAAAGGTCCTTTTTTAATATAGAGGTCAACAAGGCATTCTGAACACTGCAAACATTATGTTTGCATGTAACATTGTTTGTATTGTGTGTAGAATCATCGAAATTAMTTGTTAATATCTGATATAAAGGTCCTTTTTTAATATAGAGGTCAACAAGGCATTCTGAACACTGCAAACATTATGTTTGCATGTAACATTGTTTGTATCGTGTGTAGAATCATCGAAATTACAGTACTTGTTATAATTCCTTGCGTTCTGATTGGTCATTTGGCAGTGTCAGTGCGGTCGAAATTTGTCGCGCGACTATGCTTTTCCACTTATTTATAAACAGTCGACAATGTCGTTAACGTTGTCCACCGAAAAAAGACATTTACACATTTACAAATTTAGACTAAGGTGAGCCTGAACTTTAAATGTAAAATTCAACTCGCGAATCAAAAATCCAGAATGCCCCGAACATTTAGTGAGGATTTAAGATGGAGAATGGTATTTCAGCATTTGTTTTATGCCAGAACCTTCGAGAAAACACGTGGTATTTCTTTTAGTCTAAATATGTAAATGTGTAAATGTCTTTTTTCGGTGGACAACGTTAATGACATTGACTGTATTAACTAAAAAAGTAAAATAGGAAATAATATACTAAAAGTACTCAGTCTTTAGGACTTGCATGAGGTATTTACTTATAATTCGTTTTTCAACTCAGTGTTTCAGATTTTTAGGACAATGGTTTATATTAATAACAATACGTTGCTGGTTTTCACTCAGCTGATAAAAGTTATTGAATCTCATTATATTATCTGCTACAACAGTGGTCAAACACTGACCACCATGTGCTGTCAGAAAGAATTCTATTGAAAACTTGTGATTCAGCTGATGAACATTCCGCACGAGTCAGGAAATGACGTCAAGTGAAAGCCAGCAATAGCCCTTGACAGAAACGGGGATGGGAAACGCCCCTTTGAGCAGCATGGATAATTGTTGTAATATCAAGTAGAAAGCAATAAGCCCTTCTAAAAATTGTTTTGAACGCAAGGGTAACCTAGAAACACAAAAGAAATATCACAAATTCCATCGAGAAAAATTGTGATTTTTCCATGTAGCCTCGCATCCACGACACTTTTTAGAGGGGGCCATACCTGTCTGAAACTAAGGCTATTAATTCCTTCTTCTTTAAAATTAGAGATACTTAAATCAAGGGCGGATCCAGGGAGGGGGGGGGGGGGGGGAAAGGGGGGGTTGAAGTTCCCCTTCAGCAAAAAAAGAACTGAANTATTAATTCCTTCTTCTTTAAAATTAGAGATACTTAAAGGGGGGGGGGGGGGGGGGGGGGGGGGGGGGGGGAGCAAAGGTGGGTTGAAGTTCCCCTTCAGCAAAAAAAGAACTGAAGAACTAGATGCTTTTTTATCGTCTCCCGTTGTGTTGACGGACGAAACTCAATTAGCCCTCCCCCTTAAATTGTGGCTGGATCCGCCCTCGTAAATAAATATATAACTTTGATAGGATTTCGTGCTGGTATATTCTCCTACGCAGCCGCTATTGGTGTCGTCACGAAACGCTCAACTGTGGGCAGTGAAAGTTGCGTGACGACGCTAATAGCGTCTGTTTAGGAGACACTAATCCTGGTATCGATTATATACAAAACATAAAGTATCATTAAAGGGGTGTGGCCTTTAAGATATCTGATATAAACGAGTGTGATCTGCTGTTGCACTATGCTAGTCTATGAATAGTGAATTAAATTATAGATTGAAAATATGGCTATTTAATTAGTTACTCTGGAAAAATTAAGAATTGAACTGAAGGGTCCCAAATGAGGTAAGTAGCCCTTTTGCGCAGTTTTCTCTGACGGGCTTAGTAGTCTTTTTAGTATGCAAGTTAATATAAAAATAACAATGTGATCAAAGTATATTAGGTTGGGGCTGTCCCCATAGTCCCCTTCTCTACTTGTAAGTGTTCACATCAAGAATCCAGTCCCGTAGCAAGAGGAGGGGCTGGGGGCCAATGTTTTTTACATAACATCAACACCAACATAATCAGTCACACAACCGCAAAATGACAAAGTGATATTTTTGGTCACACACGTATATCCAGGCCTTGCTACGGGCCTGAAATCCACCCAAAAGCGAATGAATCCGGCACTCATGGAATTTGGCCGTCTTTTTGTTCAGATCCAGACTGAACAGATGCGCAATCAGGGGTGCTTACCATTTACCCGAAAACAAAAACGGGACATTCCGTTTGGAAAACAATTTTCATTCCGAACAGAAAGTCACGGAAAGCTGGTTACCGATTAAGGTAATTCACTTTCCCCTCTCGTTTCGTTCTTTCAGTAGACGCATGTCCCATTTGTCTCTAGTCAAAGTTTCCCGCTTTTTTACTCTATTAGGAAACGAATCTCCAACCGGAAGGATGGGTTTAAATGATAGCCCCCCCAGGTTCTGTTGCATGTTAATTTTCTGAGGAAATCCTTTGCATGACATGGGGCGATAAAGTACATAATAGTTATATGGGATCGTGACTAATGTTTCAGTTTCTATCTATCCTTCCCCATAAAGTTCATTAAAAAATCTACAGAAATCTAAAGAATTTCTTGATTCCTTCCCTATCCTTGTGCAATTGATGGAACTCGCTTGTTGTCAAAGCCTTGTAAACTTCGATAACCAATTTTGGGAAATAATCATTTAGAACAAAATCATCTTCCCACAATTCTTGAATGTTTTTTGGCTGTTCATTAATGTGTTCGTAGGCATTACGAATGAAGCGAATTAATCCAGCAACGGTCTTGTGGTCGTAAAATCTTTTTATTTTCATTCCAGCATAAGTAGCCGACATGTTGTCATATGGTGGCGAATCATACCATGTTATACCTCTGGATACAATGACATTGAATCGCCCCTGTAGTTCACTCTCAAACGCAAGCATAGGATGTGGTCTATTGTTCATTGCAATCTCTGGCTCATTTCCTACAGCATGAAGGAACTTCTTCTTTGTTTCGTTATCCCAGAAGAAAGGATGAACCAACGCGTCGCCTGCAGAGGGCCGTTGGCTTGGATCACTGTCCAGCATCAGATGTACAAGATGAGTAGCTTCAGGAGTGAGGGAATCATCAATCTTTACAATATTACCATTCGTAATATTTTTGTGTGTTTCGCTGAGGATTTCCTGTCGTGTTTTTGTTGCGGAGTCTGCAGGAGCGAATGGATGTCTTTTGCCTGACAGAAGATAGTGAAGCACGAGCCCACAGGAAAAGATATCAGACTGCTTGGAAAAGGAAGTTCCATCTTTCAGTACTTCTGTAGCAACCCATCCTATTCTTGAGCTACTTGTCTTGCAGTTTCCAATCTTAAGGCACAAGCTTGGATTAGCTTGGTAAAACACGGTTCTTGGATTGATATTGCCATGAACTATGCCTTGAGATTGTAAAAACTTCAAGCCCATTAATAAGTCTTTGCAAAGTTTGGTGGAATTCCCTGCGCTACTGGCCATATCAAGGTAATGCTCGAGATTCCCTTCCATCAATTCAAAAGCTAAATAATGAAAGTTTCCCTCTTCCAAGCAAAGGTAATACTGAACAATCTGCACACATTGCACTGATAGTACAAGAATGCTTTCCGGATCCTCATCGGGTGGAATTCCTGATTTATCAATGCGCTTCACAGCTACCTCTCTGCCATCTTGTACGATTCCAGCAAAGAACAAACCGCGTGAGCCCTTATCTTTGTCTAATGCCTCAGGGTAAAAATACACACTCCCGACTTGTCGATATTTGACCATTCTTGCAACCAGTGACAGTTTCGGGGCGTGAATCGGGGAAGACTGTATCCAGTCAATAACTAAAGGAAGTGCACTGTGGTCCACTGGAGCTGACAGTAGAACTTTGAGGACAGGACAATTATCTGACAAAGCAAGGCAGGATTCACCTGCTTCTCCAGAAGCGTTGATATCTGCTCCACACAACAGAAGATACTGGACAATCTTCCAATGCACAGACGTTTCAACACTGTTATCTGGTAACTCTAGAATGTTCCTACAGCTAAAATGAAGAGCTGTGTCATTGTTGCCCCTCAGATTTCTGTGTGCAAGACTTCTCCTTGAGTCTACCAATAACTTTACTAGGTCCAATTTCCAGTGGTTTTCGCTCGATTGATCTTTACAGACAGCATTCAGGAGAGGAATACCAATTGCGTCTATCTGTGATTCTAGATCACAAGCAATTTTAACTAAGGCTTTGGCAAGGCAGTTTGCTTCTTTTTCTATTAGAATGCTGAGAACTGAATTTCCCTCCTTGTCAGCAGTCCATGGATCAAGTTTCCTATTGAGCACTTCTTGCCAGAACTCTTTTGGGGTTTGATCAACATCAGGATAGAAACATCTTGAATCTTTCTTGAGGCATGCGTTCATCTTTGCAGCGGCAAGAAGAGGTGTACATCCTGATGAGTCTGTAACATCTGCCTTTGCACCAGCGTCTAACAACAGCTTGACAGCCGTCCAGGTCCTGCACATGTGTAGCGGTGTTTCTTCTTTGTCATTTCCGTCATTTAACTTCAATCCACAATTTTGAAGGAGTTGTAGAATCTTTTCCAATAGGTCTCTAAAACTGTGGTTATAGTAAACCTTTTTACGGTAATGAATGGGTAACTGCATTGCCATTGATGCCCAAAGGTGAAGCGGCGTGTTAATATAAATATCTCCGTTATTAACAGCAGCGGTGCGTTTGCGGTCCTTGGAGAACATTTCTAAGATTTTAAACATTTCCTCAAAAATGCACCTTTTTCTGTTTTCATCTTCTAAGAGAATGGCATATTGGCACAGTTCGAGAATCAGATGAAATGCAGACTCTTCTTTGTGTGTTGTATCACACAACTCTGACCCTTTTTCCATTAACAGCCTGCATACGCTCTGTAGACATCCTGACCAATAACTTGTTTCGCTGCGGGCCATTAAATGTTTCGAAGACAAGCAAAATAAAAGCGGTGTCTCCTTCTTGTAATTTTTCGCATCCACTGACTTTGCATCGTGTTCCATGAGGTCACGACAAAGGTTAGTTACGGATTCTTTAGGCACACCATAGAACAGCAATTGGGTTGCATAGTGAAGACAGGTGTTTCCTTCTGAATCTGGAGCCGATGGCTTAGCGCCAAGCTTGTAAAAGGTTTGGAGCACATCACATACAGGAAAGACGCCTTCAGTATCGCGTTCTTGCATACTTTGAAGCTGGCTAATTAAGCTGTTTTTGACATCAGCGTGTGTGCCATCGTTTGTGTTACTAAAAACCAACTTGAGGGTTTCGCACAGTACATCGAGGTTAATAGCAATACCAAGTGTATTCGACGCTTGTGGCATAGTACCAAGAACTTGGATAAATTTGCATAAAATCAAATTTATAACTTCTTTGTTCAACTGAGCTGGAGTTATTCCTTTCTGTAAGAGAAGCTTTATTCCTTCGCCTGTGACATCGACCGGCAAATTATTCTTTAACATATTTTCAGCAAAAAATGTTAAGACACTTACACTGCATTTATCTCTTCTAGTCACTTTCACACCTTTGTCGAGAAGCTTCTTTGCCGAGTCCAAGGAGCGTATAAAGGCATAAAATATAGGGGTTCTTTTGCGAGCATCTGTTTTATTGATATCTACCCCACTGTTGATAAGAACATCTACAATCTCTCCGCACGAGATCCCATAGAATATCAACATATTCTTTTTCTCGAGATTTGTGGTATGTTCTTCGAATTTTTTCAGAAGACCTTCGAAACGTTGATGCTTTTCCGCAAGGCAAGCAAGCTCAAGTTTCATATCAAATGGGATCTCACTTGCTTCATTTACTCTCGTAGCGAATTCCTTAAGCTGTTCGACATTCCAATTTGAAAAATAAATTTTGAGGTCAGAGTCAGTAAAGCATGTCGAGTGGAAGCCCTTATTTGCCAAGCGAGCTAAAAACAGAAGTTGGGATTGATTACTGTAGTCTATATTCTCCAATGTTAAGTTGAAAAGTATTTCATTTAAGGTGCATAAGCAATCTTCTCCCAAAAATCTTTCGAGCTTATTCGGAGACAGCGTGTCTATGGAAAACTGCGAGAATGTGTGGCTTAAGTTGCAGTCATTATGCAGAGTAGCTAGATCAACATCGAAGATAGACATGACCTAGTTCATCTTTTTTGCTAAGATAAAATATATATTCGTGTGTACTTATCTCTTGTATTCTTCAAAGGGACAGAGCACGACGATGAAGGCCCAACGAAACAGCAAACAGGAAGCACTCCACTTCCTCCCTGGTATACTGGCGCATTTACCCAAGGTTTTACGATATTCCAGACGATGTAGCCGAGTCGTAGGCAGTCACAAACACAAGATAGCTCTTTGAGCAAACAGATACTTGCGCTTTTAGATTTTTGAAGTTTAAAATGGCTTGAAAAGAATGAATTTTTATGGCATCATTCCTAACTAAGCAAAGGTAAACAACGCCAAAGTGAAAGTAATCCACTCGCTTCAATGTTCGTACTTAGTCTTACGCTATCGACAATACGAAGAACGCCTGAATGTTTGTGCAAACATCCCCTAAAAAATCACAGTTAGCTCAAGCTCTGCTTTTGTGGGGTTTTATCAAAACCACTTCGAATTTTCCAGTTTTACCAATACAAGTATGCTTTTCAAATGATATATTTTTAATTGTATACTGGACTTAAATTTAAATTGTCACGCAAGATGTGCAAAATCCTCATTAATATGGCCTTTATTTACTAAAATATCCGCTATGGCCCCAAGAATTAGCTATATATTTTAGAACATTCAAACTCCACCGATACTTCTATTTCTATTCTTTACAGTAAATATTGGCTACGAATCAATTTTATTTTGGTACTTTTCGCATTATTTTTCACAAACGTTAAATATTCGAATTAGCTTCCCAAAATGCAAACAAAAACATCAAAAATGTTATAAACCTATAAAACACTATAAACTGCAATGTAAATAATTAATTATAAAGTTAATGGCTTGCAATGTCTTGTATTTTGGTTTTCTCCTCAGTGCAATAGAATATTTCCATATCTGTTAGATTGTCTGCATACTTTAAATAAAACTTTTTGCTAATTCTAACACTTATGAATATCACAATCAGTAAAAGTCACCTTCATTTAAGGATAATAATCAAAATACTAATTGCTAATTCTAACACTTATGAATATCATCATCATCAGTCAAAGTCAACTTTAAGAATAATATAATATACTGTATTATATAAACCTATGTTAACCCATAAAACACTATATTAGAGCGCATGCAGTAAAACCATGAAATAAAAACAAAGTTGCTACTGACAAATAGTAGC